CAGAATCCTTTAAGACAGAGATGAGGAGGGAAGCAAGCAGTTCTGCAAAAGCATGAAGGTAGAAGATGGGATGTCTTCTATGAGGACCAGCAAGGTGACCAGTTTAGCTTGGGATGCAGAGAACACAAGGAAGAGCAATGTCCAATAAGCCTGAAAGGGAGGTGGGAGTCAGGCAATGAAGGACTTTAAATGCCAAGTTAAGGAGTTTGTATTTTATCTCCGAGAAAATGAGGAATCCTTGCGACTCCTTGATAATATGCTCAGACTGGTACTCTAGGAATATCAGTTCGGCAGGTGTGGGGAAGACAGATTGGAGAGTGAAGGGCCCAAGTAGGGCCTCCTGCAGTAGCCGGAGGAGAGGTGATGAGACTCTGCGCTTCAGGGCAGGGATCGTTTTATTTGTGTCTTTGCACCCCCAGGGCCTGGCACAGAGAAGGTGCATAATAGAATCCCATGAATTCATTCATTTCTCATGCAATTTCATTCATTCAAGATCTGGCAGTTAATTGGATGTGAGGGAGAGTGTGAAGAGACTCTGAGGTAGCTAACCCAGGTAATGGGAGGAAGGATCCAGGATTGTGGATTGGGTTTGGCGGACAGGTGGGAGGGGCGCATGTGTGCTCTGGGAGGTGCCCAAAGAGGAAACGCCCACTCTGTCCTGGCCCAGGTCTCTGCCTCCTGCTCTCTGCTCTGCTCCCTTCCCGACCCTCCTACTTCTGGTCTGTGCAGATAAGCTTCCCGCTTTATTCCTGTGGTGTTACAGTAATAGTCTTCCCGCTTCCTCCCTAGTTGCTCATTTTTTTTCTTCACATTTCTTCAGTACATTTCACTGTGATGGCTTTCCCATCTACTTCTGGTGGTGTTCCAGCCTTAGCCTTCCCAGTTTCGGTTTCATTACTAAGCTTCCCCCTACCCTCCACCTCATTTCCCTTGTGGTGAAGTAATCCCCACAGCTTCCTGTTGTGTCCCAGGTTTTCCACATTTGCCTGTGATTTTTTTTTTCATGCTTCAGGTAATTTTACTGATATATTTCTTAGCTACTTCCTGTGGTGTTAAGTGGTAACCATCTCATTTTCTGTCCTGCGTCTACCCAATATACTGTGCTATATGTTTGCCCTACTTCCAATGTAGTTATGATCTAACCACTTCTGGTATTTCCACTCTGGTTATAATAATGTGCCATCCTTCCTACTTGGGCTGTGAGCTCCCAGAGAGGGGAGGACTTGGGGTCAGGGTGGGGTCTGGGAGGAATGGGTTCTGCCCTTTAGGGGCGGGGCCTGGTGGGAGGAGGGATCTTAATCCAGAGAACGCTGCAGAGCCGGGTTGGGCCGGGTCTTCTCCTTCTTTGGTTCCCCCCCTGCCCTCCACCTACTTTTCCTGGTCCCAGGAAGGGGCTGGGGCTCAGGTGAGGCCTTTGTTTCCCCTTCAATCCAGTGCTCTCAGGAGCCCTTTTGTATGGCCTGAGGCAGGTAAGTGACGACAAGGTGAATAGGGGGCTGGGCCTAGAGTCTGGAAGACCTGAGATCAAATGTAGTCTCTGAGAGTGACTGTGTGACTTTGGACTAGTCATTTAATCTCTGTCAGCTGTAGTTTCCTCAACTGTGAAATGGAGATGATGAGAGCACCCACTTCCCAGAGTTGTTGTGTGGATCAAATGAGAAAATACTACTGTTAATAATACTAATGATGATGATGATGATGGTAGCTTACATTGCTGTAATTATTACTGTGTGCCAGGAACTGTGCTAGACCATTTATAAATTTTATCTCTTTTGATCCTCACAACAACCCTTCAAGGCAGGTGCTGTTATGATCCTCATTTTACAGATGAGGAAAGGGAGACAAAGAGAGGCTAAATGACTGACCCAGGGTCATGTTTGTAAATGCTTTGCTGTGCCTGACACGTAATAAGTAGTATATAAATATTTATTCTCTTCTGCCTTACCAGTTGGTGGTTTGCGGGGCCTGCCAGGAGGAGGAGGCAGAGAAGGAGGCTTTCCTCCTAAGGTAGGAGTGAGAAGTCAGGCCCCTTGGGCCTGGGAAGAGAAGGAGGCACCACCATTTAACTGCTGGTGACTTCCCCTCACCATACCCTTCTGCAAGAAGACCACGTGTGCGAGTGAGAGATTTGAGCTGATGGGAGGAAGGATTGGGAAAAGGAGGCTGACCAAGAGATATACCCTTCTGGCCGCTGACTGAAGCCTCCATGTGGTCCTAGAGGGAAGCTTCATTCTTGTGATCCTGGGTTTTATCTTATCAACCAATCCAGATGTGGGCCTGGTGGGTGATAACTCTCCCAGAGGTATTAAAATTTGCATTTTAGCCAGGATTCACTGGAGATTGCATTGCCTCCATTCTAAAGAGGGAATGGTTTTCTGATGGGGGAAAATTACAGATAGATTCTAAACTCTAGATTTCCTCTACGTATCCAAGCCTCAGTTTCCTCACTGTAAAATGGAGATAAAAAAGGACACTGACTTCATAGACCTTATAGGGTTTTCTTAAGATAAAATGAGCTGAAGTATGTAATTTGCTTTGCAACCTTAATGTGATATATAAGTATGAGCAATTTTTCTTTTGACCCATGTAGAGAAGCAGAGAAGAAAACAGGTAAAAATCCTAGCTAATGTAAAATCATTTGAGTTCTGTGTACATGGTGATCAAAAATGTGCACTGTTGCTTCTTCACATAGAGTGAAATGAAACTAGCTATATACATACCCCCACACCATTCTTGGAAAAGATATTTACCAAAAACCCACCCTGGTTTCAATTTTCTCATTTCTGAATTTGACTGGGAAGCATAGTATACCTCCTCTCACTTTCTCTTCTCCAAATTTGACTGCTGAGGAGGAAAACAATCTAGAAAATACTGCTTTATACAATGTTCAGATTTATTTCTTTAAGCTGTCTGAAAGTATATATATTATATATATATATATATATATATACACACACACACACACATACATGCTATATGTGTGTATATACATACATACAAATACACACACACACACATATAAAATCATAGGATTTTGAGACTTGTAACAGACCTCAGCAGCTATTTAGTTCACCTCATATATGAAAAGAATCCCTGTTCTATCATTCTTGGGAAACCCACCTTTCAAGGCCAAGGTTCCATCTTTGGACAACCCTCATTGTAAGGAAATTCTTCCTAACTTCAAGACTCTGAGTTGTATTTTTGCCCCTTCCACTCATTGTGACTGGTTTTGCCCTGTGGGACCAAGCAGGTCAAGTCAATTTCCTTTTTTTGCGTGATAGACCTTTAGAAATATTTTCGTTTTAGCTGGACCTCCTGAGGAAGGTATAATCCTTCTTTCTTACCTCTTTTCTATAGTATCAGCTACCTCCTCATAAGGAGATGGAGGAATTAATGGTACCAGAAGAATAGCTTCATCATTTTATGGTAGGAAGTTGATTGGTGTCCAGCTGTGGAGAAAAGATCTGCAGTCCTTGACACCAGCATTAAATGCTGCCATCAACAGATATGTAAGCCCAAGAGCCCCAGGAATAGCGGTTCCCTGCCCCCTACTCCCCTGCTCCCAACCAAGACCCCAAAGCTCTTATCTACGGGCTTCACTGACATTGGCTGCATCACTCTTTTCATTAGACCTCATTGTATCTTCAAAACATAGGCTTTCAGTAGGTGGAGATTGGGGCTAGGAAATGAAAGAATAAAAGAATCAATGAATATTAGATGTCACTTGGATTCATAGTGACTACTTAAAGAAGAAAAAACTTACATGGAAAACCAGAACAAAAGCTCTCATCCTCCTCCCTTTCCCTATGTAGTCTAAATCAAAACAAACCCGATCATTTTTTTCAGTGGCAAATTGCTTCAAATTGATATTATTCTCAAAAATTGCCTCACATTTACTGTCTAGAGGAAACAGATATTCTTCTTGTTTCCCTACACATCCTGAAAATGTTGACATAGGGCAGAAATGTCTTTTTTGAAAAGTGGAATAATTAACAACTGAAATTCCTTCCATTAGTGGTTAGTTGTAGTTCGGCTATGTTTTCGGACATTTTGACTGTTTATTCTTTGTCTGGCTAGGCTGCAGGGCCTTGGGAAATTGAAAGGATGGGATAAAATTCTAATGATTCCTACTACTGCAGATCGTTCCCAATCAGATGACTGTCAATCAGTCATTCAATCAGCAAGCATTTATTAAGTGCCTACTATGTGATCATCACTCTGCTGGAGAAGATGGGATGGAATGTAGAGTTTTGTGTATGTGACAGGTTTGCCTTGGCAAGGAGAAGGGCTACCTTTTCATGTGAGTCAATAGTAGAGAAGGAGAGAGAGATGTCTGGGTGATATGAGATGGAGAAGAGGGAGCTTTTGGAAAATGGCTTCAATAAGACGTGTTCAATAAATGATTTTTGACAGACTGTTGATCATCTCCTTTTAGAAAACCAGAAAGGTAAAAGAAAAGAGCACGTAATGTGAAGAAAACTTCTGTTCCCCCCCCTTTTCTTTCTAGATTTTTCTTTCCAGTTGAAAAGTTGACCTTGAAGTCAACTTGACCTTATAAAGTTTTTTGAGGCATATTTCTTCTCTGGTTAGTACCTGGGCGCCACTGATTTTGAGTGCACTGTATGGATGCCAGGAGGATTGGTAGACCATTTTGGACTCAAGGAGATGTGTGCACAAGAAGGACCATTTTATCTAGCATGGTAGAGAATGGAGCAGCTTCTAGCTGATATTGTAGTCAGTCATTTTCCAATACTTATGGAATAATCACTGTTCATATGGCATAACTCAAAACATGAGGAATTATTTTGAAAATGCAAGGCGTCTCACATGTGAAACTGAAGCCCAAACTAATTCATTTCATGATGTTGAATGGTTAACACTGGACACTTCTGAAGCCCTAGATATGAACTATAACTCTATAACTCAACTGAGGTTTTCGAGTTCTTGTGTTTGAAATCTGTGTCAGCTACTTTTCTGCTCTATTTGTTTTCTAGAAAGAAGCCGTTGGGTATATAGAGGACTTGGAGTCTACCTTCCAGTGAGATCTCCTAGGCCTGAGAGCTGAATGAGCACTTGGAGGTCAGCTGATCCCCTGCTTTCACAGATGAGGTAACAGATTGAGAGAAGGGAAGTAACCGGCCCAAAGGCATCTAAACAATAAGGGGCGGAATTAGAATTAAAATCCAGGTCCTTTGGTTCCACATGCAGTATGGTGTTATAGTGAATAGGCCACTGGTCTTGTAGTTAGGAAGACCTGAGTTCAAGGACTGCCTCAGATTATAGCTATGTGATCCTGGGCAGGTCATTTAACCTTTAGGTATTTTTATGGGCCCAGGGCTACATGGAATCCTTGGCCACACTAGGGCAGTATCATTGTCCCTGTAGGTTCCTCAGAATCAGCCAGAGGGTGCCATGCCACATCCCCAGGGTCAGGATGGAGACATCTTCACCCACTTCCTTAGAGTACCCTGCTTGATGATCCATCTTTCAGGGCTGGAACCAGGGGCTCATCAAAGGTTGGAGTCCATGGCTTTTGTAGAGAAGAGGCCAAAGTGGTATGGAGTAAAGGAGAGAAACCAGGTTTGGACTGCCATTTGGGTTTATTAGTGAGTCCTGATAAATATGTCATTAGGGGCAGCTAGGTGGCGCAGCAGATAGAGCACCAGCCCTGGAGTGAGGAGGGACCTGAGTTCAAATGCGGCCTCAGACACATGCTACTCACTAGCTGTGTGACCCCGAGCAAGTCACTTAACCCCAATTGCCTCACTAAAAAGAAAAAAAAAAAGAATGGGCGATAAAGATATCATCGGTATGAAATCAAACTGCTCTTTATTTTTCCGGTTGATATCTCTTTCATTGTTATTACTTTCACTCAAGCAATTTACAGTATTGACTGGCAATATGATTCCATTCATCCATTGTGTATTGACTAAGTGGTCAGTGAAGATGGAACACTTACAAAGGTAATTAGTAGGAAAGCTCATTTCCATATTCATGACCACTGACAGACAGTGTTCACCATTCCTTGTCCTGAAGACCAGCTGTCTTGTAGATTCAGACAGTGTCAGTGGTGAATCAAACCTGTTTGGCTCTTGGCCTTTCACCTTTCAAGAAGTGTTCATCTAGCTTCCAGGAAATGCAAATTGGCAACTAATTGATTAGTGAACTTTGTCTTCTGGAAGGGAGTGTTTTGTCTTTGATGGTCTGTGCCTGAGCTATATGGGTTCCAAGGTGAGGTAGGTGATGGGGTGGCCTGAAGTGATATCCTCATATGGTAAATAGTCTGTTTTGCTAGGGAGAAATGTAAAAAGTGAAGGCTGACTTCTGGCTGGGTGACAGGTACTATATTAACAGGCCTTTGCCGCATCTAGCAGCCATTCCAAGATTGAGTTCAAACAGCCATGCTAGCTAGCCTTTGCTCTCATCACCTTTGCATATAAAAGCTTCCCCATTGCAAAATTAGAACATGGTGGAGGCAGACTTTATTAGTTTGGAAAGACAGACCACGGGGAAGTTACGTGTGTCTGTTGGAAGGAGTATGCTTTATTATGCAGTGTAAATAGACAACTGACAGCCAGAGCAGAGTAAATCCCATGGAGGATTTGAATGGAATGCAATTCATAGGCTTTGCTTCCAGAAAGCATACTTATTAACTCCAAGGATTCCTGGGAGATTTGAGACTTTCTGATTCAAAAATGCCCTGTATGTTCAGTTTTACTCATAGGAAAAAATCAAAATGCTCCTATTAATTTTAATGATTATTATTGACAAGTCACACATACCTTGCTGATCTCTTTTTGCTTGGAATTGGAAAGCTCAGGCTCAGGACTTTTAAATTATTTTAATTCACTGGTAGAAAATTGTTTTTAATATCTCTCTTCCCTACTTTACTTTTTTGGAATTTGGCGCATTTTCCCCCCTTCTATTTGTTTTGTTTTACTAAAATGTCATTCCTATATGTTTTGTTCCTATTTGCATGCATATTTTTCCAATGATTTCCAGTGTGCATAAAATATATATATAACAGTGGCAATATACCAGTCTTATGAGCCTATGACCTACCTTGCTCATATGTAGAGAGAAAGTGTGGATATAAACAGAGCTTAGAGTCAAAATGTCTTGGGGAAGGCCTGACTCTGACCCATAAACCACTTAGCAGCAGTTTGACCTTAGGCAAATTCCTTCATTTCTCTCAGCATCATTTTTTTCATTGGTAAAATGTGGTTACTATTGTATACATGGCTTACCTAATTTGCAGGATAGTAAGGAAAATGTGTTGTGAGCTCATTTCTAAACATTATGTGGGATATTATTTTCCTGGGCTTTCTGACTTCTTTGATGCTAAGTAGCCTTTAAAGGTATAGCTCACAGATTTAGAACTGGAAGTGAGCTTAAAGGTCATCTAATCCAATCCCCGTATTTTAGAAATGTGAAAACAGAGGCATCAAAGATGTTAAATGAGTTTCAGAAGTTAAATGAATGGTCACAAAGTGGTAAGCCACAGAGTTAGAATTCAAACCCATGTCTTCTGACTGCATATCCCATGGTGCCTCTACTAGGCAGCTACTAAGCCATGTCACTATCTTCCCATTTCATGGTCCTGGAAATAGTAATGGCTAGCATTTATATAATACTTTGAGGTTAGTAAAACATTTTACAAATATAATCCCATTTTCCCCCCACAATCCCAGAAGGTAGGTGCTATTATTATCTACATTTTACTGATGAGGAAACTGAGGCAAACAGAGGTTAAATAACTTGCTCAGTATGTCACATAGCTAGCAAGTATGTGAGAAGTGGCCTCTTGATGTTACCTAGAGCAAATGGTAGAGCAGAAAAGGCCTTATGCATTGGTGAAATGGGAAGTTGTTTATTGGTGATTTTAGGGGTATTGGAAAGGCCCTCTATCCAAAAATCTTTCTCTCATTGAGCTGTCACTGTTGCCTGAAATTTGACCGTTAGAAGATTCATCACTTTTTATTCAACATTGTCATCTGCAGGCAGCCTTTTTAAAATATCTAAATACTGTAGAGGAGAGTAACACATCGTCAGATCATTAGCATCTAGTGTGAATTAATTTATCTGATTACTTTCTTCTCTGATAGTAGTGTGCTCATGAGAACCCTGGGCACATGCAGTGGGGACAGAGTGCTAGTGGTAGAGGAAAGCCTGCATGAAGTCTTACATTAGGTTATTTGTGAAGCGTAAACATGGCTCTTCTGTCCAACTGTCTCATCCAGGGAACAAAAGTCTAGCATGAGGAATGTGGTCAATGTGCTGCTAACTCTAAGATAGTGGTGCTGCCCAGTTTGGGTCATTCTTTCTGCATCCAATGTTTGCCCAACTTCTCTTGACATTAACTAGAGTTTGGACTTTACCTTTAACATGTAGCCTAGCTTTGTGAAGCTGTGGAAAGACCACTGATGTTGCTTTTTCTTGATCTTTCCAAGCTCTCTTTATTGCTATTACAGACTTTCAGTGGACAAGGTTAGTAGCTCATCTGTATACATGTCCTTTGTGCGGAGTTGTCTGTTTTCCACACTGGAGCATTTTAAAGCCAGCATGTCAGTCTGGGTTTTCATCCTTAAGTGTGAATTCTATAATTCTTTGGCTTAAGTGGGTGAACTACATCCAGCTTGTAATTTTCTACACGACAGCACAAATATTATCTCCTAAGGCCAGGAAGAGAGGCATGGCCTTTGGTAGCTCTGGGGCCAACGATGGGTGTTTTGTCTTGATTTTTCTATAAAGTTTCAATTAGTAGTAAAAAGCTCTTCAGTAGCATGCTCAACTGATGAACAGCTCCTTGAGAGGGCTGGGGTGCAGCATAGGACATAGAATGTGTTTCACCCAGTTAGCTCGGTTGTACTTAATACTGGGTCCTACGTATATCCAGAGAATTCATGACCCGTGGTTGGAGGAACTTATTCTATGTAAGAAGAATGGATTTCTAAGTGAATTCTGCCAGTTGACATCTCAAGGTAAATCCTTTCCTTCCCTCTCCCTCCCCATTTTGTAAATCTGCCACATTTTCCCCAAGTCATGATATTTTGATATCTCAGAAACATACCAAATAATGAAATCTCTGGACAGGAGCCTGGAGGTCAACGTGTTGGAATCGTAGAATAGAAACAAATATGTTGTTATCAGGAGTAGTTTTCAAAGCGACGCCAAGCTGACTTGGTGATGCCCATAAATCCCCATCATTTGAAAGCAGCACGGGGACCTGAGGAAAATGAGCAGAGGCTTATGGCACTCAGGCCCGCTCGGAGCAGTACTCACTAGGCCCCAGGGTAGCCCCAAAATGGAAGGAGCCAGAAAAATTGAAGCCTAGAAATGGCCTCTCCAGATGAGTGTTGAGATGTATGAAGGAAAGCTGGTTTTTGTGCTCTGGATCAATAAAAGAAACTTTGAGTATCCATCTCAACCTCTTCTCTGTGCGTTTCCTTTCTTTGCCTGTGATAATTAAATATTATAAAATTGTCTTAAATAGCACAGAAAAATGTTAGTGTGCTAAGCAAATAGTAGGTGCCTATTAAATGCTTGTTGAATTAACCTAACCTCTCCTAATGCCACATGGGATTGTTGTGATGATAAATCTCACAAAATGGAAGAGGGAGTGCTTTGTTCATCTCACCTCAGTGCCAGTATAAGGTCTTGTGGCTGGTGGCTGGTGGCAGTTGCTGAGGAATACCTCTCCCATTCCCCTCATCAAGAACAAGGATGAACAAAGAATTCTGGGTAGTCTTTCTTGTAGCTCTGAAGCTGTTTTGAAGCTTCAGAAAGTTCTGTCCTTCTGACCATAATGCATGTATTTAGGCAGAATAAGGGAGGGGGAAGTGGGTGTGAGAAAGAAGAAACTAGAACAGAATATGAGGAAAGATGGAGAAAGAGAGCAAAGAATGCATGGTGTAATGGAGGAGGAAGAATTGTGGTAGGAATTCCTCTTTTCCTTATAAATTTGAAATCCTTCAGATATGAGTAAGGTAGCACCATGTGATCCTGGTTCTCTGGAAAGAGGCTGGGACTTACTGGATTTGACTATCGCAGGAAACCAGAGGGTCTACACAGGGCACCTAGAAGCAATGTAGAAAACCAGATGTCTGAGA